ACATTCAATGAATGAGTGTCCAGATTCAAGAAAAGATTGTTGCCGAAAGATTAATGAAAACTTATGATATTTGGGGCGTTGCCCTATGGTGTAACGACACTTATTGGATAGATTAAAGTTATGCAAGCATGCAATTGGCCAATCAATACTACAAAAACACTCAATATACTTATGTTTTATCCAATCTGAGTGCCGGTGCCGTCTGACAAGTTGCCAGACTGGATTTTCTCTTGAAGAGCTATTGACACTTTATTTCATGTGACAGCTTTGCTGTTTTAATATTCTGGGAGCTTTGTTAGTTGATTATGTCCTTAGTGACGTTTGGAGTAGGATAAGATTAGGTGTGGTGGAGGCGGCGTCTGTTATGAGCCACTCTCTTCACTCGTATTTATAAAAGTATTAGGCATTTTTCCTTATAGTCCAGAGCTCTCCCAGTACCTAGGAAGCTATGACTGGTGATATAAGAGTAGTCTGTGCGGTGTATTTCCTGTGATAAAGGTCTCTTTAACACCAACAAGTATTTACACTTAAAAAATAAATGATCTGGCGCCGGGCGGTAGTGGGCGCTTCTCCCCCAGCCACTGTCCACCGTGCTCCTAGTGAGGTAACCTTCAATGAATATTTGATTATTTTTACTGTCTAGACATATGAATGAGAGTAAATGTAATTATATTGTAATTAGGTAGAGGATTTATAGATTATTGGTAGTACTTCAGAGTACTATTGATTCTTATTAACGATTTGATTTAATCCTCACCGGAAATCGATTAATGTTCCAATTGTTTTTTAATTAAGATATTCTTTTTGAAGCTTCTTGATCCTTGAGAAATCGTGCACAATTCACGTTGGCACATTTTGGCCCAAATGGCACACGGGATCATGGTAGCATTGTCATGTAGGATCCAGATGTAGGATATAATGAATCTGAAATGATTCTGATATAATTCTGATATGATTTTATGAATTTGATATATAGAAATAATATATTTCATAGATAATGTTGATGAAGTGGGTAAAATTTTCCACAGCCATGTTGTTCCTATCGAACTCTTGTCTGGGTCTTGTCATTTATTGGAGGGTTATAAACAACTGCTGCTATTATCTTAAGTCCTATTGTCATAGTTCCTGTTATGTAGTCTTTGAATTCTTTGCAGCCCGAAATTTCAATCTCTTCAAAACTCCAGTCCTTCTTATCAGCAGGGCCACTCCTCTCCTATCCCCCTCTATCCTTACAATGTAGTAGTCCTTTGGAAACATTGCATTTGTTATGATGCCTGACAGTTTTTTGCGAGTCCTATTACATCTGGGTTTTCTTCCTGCGCCCTTTCGTCCAGTTCACTTGCTTTATTAGTAATCCCATCGATGTTCGAGTACATTACCTTGAAGCTCACTTTCCTATATCCGTTATACAACACGCTCCCCAATGGTGTAGGAAGCAGTTCCATGGGCAGAGTTACTCGGGTAGGCTCATCCTCCTGTGGTTACCAGGTGTTTGGAGAGAGGTGGGGGTGGGGGATGGAGGGCTTAGATCTTACCTGGGCCTGTTTGGGGCAGGAGGAAGACCAGGGGATGGGGAGGCAGGGGTGCAAGGGGGGGAGGCAGGATTTGGGTGGTATGGTGGGCATTGTGTAAGAGGGGGTGTGTGTGTGTGTGTATATATGAACATGTACATGTGTGTGTGTGTATGAACATGTATATGTGTGTGTGTGTGTATGAACATGTACATGTGTGTGTGTGTGTGTGTGTGTGTGTGTGTGTGTGTGTGTGTGTGTGTGTGTGTGTGTGTGTGTGTGTGTGTGTGTGTGTGTGTGTGTGTGTGTGTGTGTGTGCGCGCGTGTGTGTGTGCACATTTTATTACACACCTGCACAAGATTGGTTACACAATGTGCAAAGCCACAGCTTGCAGAGCACCTCAAGCTACTCGGATGTCGGACAAGAGAAAATGATGCAGTGAGCGCTTCTCCATGTTATACTGAGGCGCTGAAACATGTACATGGCGCCTCTTAAGTGTTTCAAGGAGCCGAAACCAGATCTCTGAGGAAGCAATTGGAAATTTACCCAGGTACCAAGGGTCTCTAGTGCAATGGGGCAACCCGTTCTCGCAAATTCGTAAAGTCAATATTGACTTATTAACTACGTGCATAGGTGATATACTAAACATAATAGATACCCTTAAAAAGATTCATAGAAAACACCGACCTTACCTAACCTTGTTAGTATCTTAAGATAAGCATCTTATTGCTTCGTAATTACAATTATTACTTAACCTATACCTATTATAGGTTAGGTAATAATTGTAATTACGAAGCAATAAGATGCTTATCTTAAGATACTAACAAGGTTAGGTAAGGTCGGTGTTTTCTATGAATATTTTTAAGGGTATCTATTATGTTAAGTATGTCACCTATGCACATATTTAATAAGTCAATATTGACTTATTAAATTTGCGAGAACGGGTTGAATGGGGACAAGACACTGCCATTCTCTGAACATATGGTGGGGTCTTTCCTATTTCCTATGGGTGACAGCGCCACCTTCATGTGTCATTGAAGTCAATGAGTATCAGTCATGACTGATAAGTGTAATCCCACTCCAAGTGTGAATCCTTAAGAAGTACACTGTAATCCCGTCTGGGGGACCACTGGGATTGCCAGTATTGCAAGACATTGGAAATGAGGCGTTGTGTGTGTTAAGCACCGGGTTGTAGTAGGGCTCTTCTTGGTCATGCATTTAATTGTGCCTTTTGTCAGTCTGGCATGCTCTAGTAAAGCAGGCCACGCCGACTGTATCTGTCGGCCTCTGCTTCACCGTAACACACCTGTATTCGATGTGGATTGGAGCAGAAAGGCGGAAAGTCACTGCAGTACAGGAAAGTTTACACATTAAAACGTGAGCTCTTTGCAGTCATGGTGATTAATGCAAAATCACCTGCATGGGACGCCATCACATCCTTGAGGCGAGCCCACATGATGGGTATGGGATGCATTATAAATAAAATTGCGATGTTGGGTGGTGGTTACGATGGGACTATAGATGGATTGGTCAGTGCTGGGGCTGCAGAGAACCAACCTGCTGGTCCAATGTAATGCTGGGGGGGGGGGGGGCGACGACGACACCTTCCACTCAAATTTCTTAAATGCTACTGGATTACTTAACTCATATACCCTGGAGGAGGATCAGAAGGCAGGTAGACCAATGACTGGTAGTGCCGTATGCATAGACCCTCAAGTCCAATGGTAAAGTTGGGTCGTTTCCATTGTGGGTCAAAGAGAGGGGGTTAGGTTAAGGACTTTTTCTGGCATAGATTTTAATTAGTGGTCATGGTCGTCAAACTTGGAGCCGTTGAGAGATGGCAAACACTTCTGAAAAATAACCAGGAAAAGGATAGGTGTCTGGCCTTTAGTTTTCTAATCCTTCTTCTTCAAGTGGGTGATCATCTTGCCAATGAATTAATCGATTGCGTTTTTACTCGAGCTATATTGTATTAGCCTATTCCTTGCTCCTAAATTCTTCCGACGTCCTCAGAAATATGTTGAACCACATAAGAGTACCATCATCAAAGCACAAAATTGCAAGCTCGTTGCATAGACTCTCGGTGACTTTAATAACTAAGCAGAAAAGGAGTCGAGGATCCTTGACCCCCCTAAGGAGGGGTCAAGGATCATGGTGCTAGGTGCACCTTCACAAAAAATTGTGAGTTATTGGTAGCGTTATTTGGTCATGTTAACCAAATAACTTGGCACTCGCTGTAACACAAATGGGTAAAGGGTGAGGGAAATAGTGAAGATCATGAAGACTTGTTTCTATTTGGACCAAGCTGAAAGCGTTATTTACCTTTACTTTGATAGGGCCTTTTCGTGTGTTGTTGGCAATGCATGTTAAGAGCTGCATGGGATGCTTCACAACAATGGAAAATGTCAAGGCAAAGCTACTTTGTCTTCAACATGTCTGCTTCTTGACTGACTGACTTTCCGCAGTCGCCTTAGCGAAGGGAAGCCGGAGAAAATTTCTCATGAAGATGGGTCTGAGTTCCCTATCCTTGTTTCTGATGGCACGGAGGGACGCACCAAAAAGGGTCTGGTGACATCAAGGAAGGTTGCCAGCCAGGTGTTGGCGAGACCTGGGAGTTGTGACCGGAGGTAATCTGTAAGTTCACCTAGTCAAGGGTTAAGCATTTGTTTAATGTGATTTATTCTTAGACCTATAAAACCGCCTACTGATCAGGTGGACGATGACAAAGCTGCTTTATGAACCAGAGTCAGAGCACATGGGTGTTGTTCTGGTGGCACACTGTTGTCACGGGGGAGGGGGGTATGGTGGTGGCACACTGTTGTCACGGGGGAGGGGGGTATGGTGGTGGCACACTGTTGTCACGGGGGAGGGGGGTATGGTGGTGGCACTGTCGTCTGGTGGGTGCATGGGGTCCCTTAAAGCTTGTGCTGACACAGTAATATTGCATCATATTTCCTTGCTGGTGAATATGAACTTGTATTTCATCTACGGTGTTCACTTCTGACTTTGTGTATTATATCCATGTATAATTTCAACATTTCATCCATGATAAACTAGGGCAATAACATTTCATTCGCTTGAGTCCTAGGAGCCTCAAACCTCCGACCCCCATAGTAAGACTAACACTATCAACCACGCTGTAAACAGTCCCCGAAAAGTAAGGATGCCAGAAGTGACTAAATGCTGCCCAACTGGAATGTGAGTGGTAGCCCTGGGAAGACAGTTCTAGTTGGGCAGCAGCTAGTTGCTTCTGGGAGCCTTCCTGTTTGTGGCCGTTTATAGCGTGATTGGTAGCATTACCCATTATACGCCCTGGAGGTCGGAGGTTCGAGGCTCCTAAGACCCAAGTGAATGAAATACATAAATTATATATATACACGAGTGAGTGCTTGCACACATACCAGTAAACAAGTATGCACATGTGCAAACTTCTAAAGTTTTGTAATATACTGTTGAGCGAGAAGTGACAATGTTGATGCATGTTGCAGGAGGGTCAGTGCTCGCGCCACCATTGCAATGGGTCGGTGATGCTCCCGAGGAGGAGCGGCACTGAGCCACGCTCCAAGGAAGAGGTACTCAAACTCGCCAAGGACTTCATCGACGAGTACTACCAGTCCATAAAGAGGTAAGTCCTCCCCCTTTCTCACGCCCGTGTTAACCCTCAAATTCACCCCTCGTGCCCATATTCACGCCCATCCCCACCCCCTCCGGTCCCTATTCATGCCAGTATCCATACCATCCTCCCCATTCGTCAGCACCCATCTTCCAGATCAACACAAACATGTACTGCAGCTGGTGACGGGAGAGAGACGGTAAGTTGACCGTTGTTACAGGTTCGGGGAGTCTCTCTACCGTTCATGCTTGTGGCATGGTGTTTGTTGTAATAAAAGTGTACTGGAGGCGTCCTTAATGAAGCCCTGAAGGAAATGTTTTGAGGCGGTGCTGCCTTTACCAGATCGGTGAACCTTGTATACGCCGCGCGAAGTGGTCTTAAAGTGCCTGCCACTCGTCACTTTATATTATCACGTTGATCTGACGTGGTGCGGATAATATGTATGTACTTGTGTGCGTTTACATATAATGTAAATATTTAATGACAAAGGGTGAAAGCAGTGATTCTAGCAAGAATCTTTCTACAAGTGAGGTCGAATTTTTTTAAATTAACTCGCCAATGTTCATTGTACAGCTGACGTTGTCAACACGCTCAAAGGCATCGTGGATTGATTGAAGAAGATTGAGCCACCCAAGAGGTGGCACGGGCATGAATAACCCGTAAATAAATTTAACTAGAGTAAGCAAATATATAACAGGGAGTGAGGTAACATAACGGTCTTAAGGATATTCATTCCCGTGCCTCCTCTTGGGTGGCTTAATCTTCTTCAATCAATCAATCGACGTAAGCTAGGGTGTCGCATGGGCCAACACTCGTAGCAGCTTGTCCATCTCTAATGTTCCAAACATATCTGGATCTAATGATAATGTCTTAAATATATTGCAGAATGTAACTGTGTTAGCTAGTTGTCGATTGATGGATGGTTGATTGGTTGACATTGGCTTCGCCGATGTCTGATCATATATTGTCGGTGTATTTGTCGACTATATAAGCATTTATCATGATTTATCCATCTCTATTTGTATATAGGTTATGTTCTTTGGTCGGGCCTTGCTGCTTGTGCATTGTCAGGTGCCTTGAAACAATCGTCTTGCCTATATACCACGATCATTGGGGCCGACAGTCCACAGGGGGACTAGTGGATGCATAAAAAACATTAGTCTTTAAAGTAGTTTTGCTTAGTGTCGCGAGTTTTTTGATAAGCAAGTTATCGGTCTATATTATAGGATATTAACTTGATATTCTGGTTAGTGTTGATAGGGACCAATAATGTCTTTTTGGGACATTTTTATTTTTCTCCCTTGCCCGTCCTGTGAGGGGTATGGTGGCAGGGGGCCCATGCCCGTCCTGTGAGGGGTATGGTGGCAGGGGGCCCATGCCCGTCCTGTGAGGGGTATGGTGGCGGGGGCCCATGCCCGTCCTGTTTTTTTTTTTGTTTTTTTTTATTTTCTACCACAGACGTGGCCACACATTTACAATGCTAACCAGCATATATACATTTTCTTCTGTCCTCCATGGACAGGGTTAGAGAAATGTTAAACATGGAGTTCAAGGGTTTATTGAACACTCACCACAGAAGGTGATTCGGTGCTTTTAAAATGCTAAGCTAACCTACATACGTAAATACATAGATACACAGATTTACGTATGCCCTACATAAAGTGTTTGTGTCTTTTACATAGTGTCATTAATGTACATTCACAAAGGTGAAATGTAATTCTGATCAGGTTCCATATATACTTTATACCCATACATATACATATATATACACACATGCATTCACATACATCTGTCTCATTTACTGACAGGGTGAGATGGCTGATAAACTAGTGTGCAATTAAGCACTTAATCACTGAAGGTGATGAAGGTGCTTTTACAAGCTCAGGTTATATAGTTACATCATATATATACATTGAATAAATGAGATATTACATGGTCAAGCTTGGATAAAAGTCCAATATATCATAAAGTGTTCCAGTACTCGTATAGTAATTACAGAGTTCAGCATTCCTTAGCCCAGGAGGGCGAAAGTCAGTCAGTATGGGACATTCTACAATATAATGTTCAAGAGTGCATGTTTTCTCTTTCACAAAGTTGACACATTGTGTACTCGACATTTGGGTTTTGAGAAAGCTGCCAGATACGTCTATATCCCAGGCGTATTCTGGCCACTATAACATTACATTGCCGGGTTCTTGTTCTATTACTTCCATATGTGAATGTCTCCTCACGATATCTATCATAATATTTAATGCTACAACTTTCAGGTCTTTGTGAATTTGTTAGGTCGGTGAGATTTTCATTAGATATTTAAGTATTCTCTTTGTCACTGCTAATGAAGCACCCATATCAATTTATACCACTGGTTTTCTGCAGGCTGTCTTAGCAAGCATATCAACAGTGTCATGCCTTGAGATGCCAACATATGATGGTATCCATAGGAATTTAATCTCAAATCTGTTTTCTTTAGCAGCTAAAACATTCATTCGAATATCACTGACTATTTTCTGGGTGTCACTACTATGTGCATTCAGTGCCAGGAGTGCACTCTGCGAGTCACAGTATATAAGTCCACTGCCTTTGTCTTTTAAAAATTCAGTGGCAAGGTATATGCCTGCAAGTTCGGTTTGAGTTGTACTTGCCCAGTCATTGACGCGCTTCATTGCTGTAGGTACGAGAGAAGATTGTTCAAATATGTTACATGCACATCCGGTACATCGTCCACCTTCTTCTACAGAGCCGTCGGTATAGCACTGATAAACATCGTTACCCATACTCTTGAGTACTTTCAGTGATGCTTTTCAGTGTTAACTGTTTTAATAATGTAGTGTGCACACTTATCTTTCTTGGGCGCATTTACAAAATCAACTGATTGATCCCAGTTATCCCATGGAGTAATTGGCTGATTAATCATTAGTTGAGTTGGGTACATATTTAATATTTTGATGGAGTTGGCTACCTTGTAGAACCAATATACATAATCAGATTTCGTTCTTCTTCTATAGACCTCAGGTGAGTGCAGCATATTAGAAAGTTTAGCTTGAAACTTCGTGTTGTCTAGATCTACTCAATGCCTTCATGCCGAAAACTGTGCTAATAGACAAAATTCTCTCACTTATGGTAGGTAATTTTAACTCTGCTCTCATATTAACTATTCTCGTTAACTTTGGAGCCCCAAGGATGAGACGCATAGCTTCATTTTGCAAGGTTTCAAGAGATTTCAGCTCTGTCAGTATACAGTGTGAGATGTAGAGCATTGTAGTCAATCACAGAGCGTATAAATGACACATAAAACATTCTAGCAAGTCTCACGTTAAGTCCATGATTGACACCAACAAGGACCCGCAAGGGCTTTAATCTCTCCAAAAGTCTCCTCTTGAGAGAAGAAAGGTACCCAGGGTCGTTAATGGGGACACCAAGGTATCTGTAAGACTCGCAGTTCTCAAGTGCTCGTCCATCTATATGATAATTGGGTGGTGGAATACCACATGGAATGAGGGCACGAGTTTTCTGTACAGAGATAAGGAGGCCACATTCCTCAGCTCTAGTAGCAAAAGCATCGAGCAGAACTTGCATTCTAGGCTCGGAGGCAGCCTGTAAACATATATCAGCAGCATAACAAATGACAGTGTCTTCATTATTAGTTGGAAGATCTTTAATAAGTTTATGCATCAGAACGTTGAACAACAAGGGGCTGAGGATCCCTCCTTGTGGAGTTCCCAGTTCAAAGTGTTTGCTCTCTGTGCTTTTAACACCATTAAACAAAACATATGCTGTTCGATTAGACAAATAGCCCTTTATCCATTTCAGTAATTTTCCTTGTATTCCCAGCTCGGCAAGCTGTTCCAGTATGATTTCTCTGTTTGCTGTATCAAAAGCTGCTGCTAGGTCGATGAAGACTGTTTGAGGGGGAAGCTTCAATATGTGCGAAGTACTCGGCAAAACAGTGTTGTGTACCGAGCCCAGGCATAAATCCAAACAGTTGGGGTGACAGGTGCCCCTGTATACGATACATGAGTCGGTTAAGAACAATACGTTCAAGCACTTTGCAAACACACGATGTTAGAGATATGGGTCTATAATTATCTGAGTGTGGTTTGGGGATGGGAACAATGACACTCTTTGTCCAAGCATCAGGTAATACTCCTTCACGTAAACTCATTCTGTACAACACTAATAATGGATTACCTGGTACGTGAGAGACTAATCTCAGTAGACTGTAAGTAATACCATCCTCTCCAGGAGCAGTTGATTTTCCCATCTTTAGTGCATGATTTAATTCCCATTCAGTTACATCATTAAGGTCCGACCTGTGAGGGGTATGGTTACCTTACTTTGAGGTGTTTTCGGGGCTCAGCGTCCTCGCGCCTCGGTCGTCGACCAGGCCTCCTAGTTGCTGGACTGGTCAACCAGGCTGTTGGACGCGGCTGCTCGCAGCCCGATGTATGAGTCACAGCCCGGTTGATCAGGTATCCTTTGGAGGTGCTTATCAAGTGCTCTTGAACACTGTGACATTGTGTGTATTTTCTCTCAAACTTTTCAAAGGGTTGAGGTAGCTCAAGCTATTCTCACGTCAGTACGTGTTCATACATATGTTTGTTGTTTGTAATGTGTGTATATATTACTGAACATTGAGAGAGAAACACACACATTTCTTCCTTTACACTAGTAGTATGGTATCAGACGTACACACATACTTTTATGACTAGGTATATAGACAATTTGCAAGAGACATTCAACAAAAGGTTAAAATCTTGGTGCAAAATTCTTATCTCCAGAGTATCATCAACCTTTCCGTTGTGACACACAAAGGCTAATTGTTCAGGAACAATCCTTACCTCAGTGTTTCTATATACATTAATTAATGGGCAATCAAGAACATAATGGGTGAGGGTGAGACCTTAACATTGCACATATTTTACACTTGGTGTCATTATCATGAACACCATTCTATATTCAAAGTAATATTTGTACCCAAGCCTGAGCCGCATGTGCACAGTCAAACACCAAGC